CGCGGGAGGGGCTCGGCAGAGTCCAGCAGGTGAGGGCTGGCCTGATGTAGGCCGGGCGAGAGGAGGAGGACCGACTCGGGAGGGGCTCGGCAGAGTCCGAGAGACAGAAAGGATCACCCCACCTTGGTTTTCATAGACGGGGTAGGAAAGAGGTCCACTACTCAAGTCCACATGGGGCGCTCGAGGCAGAGGTGGGTAGGAGACGCCAGGGTCTGGGGCTGTCTCTTCGGTAGGCAATATCTCCCTCACCCTTATAGCCCACCCTCCCCACCGACACGCACCCCACCGCCTCGATGCCGCCCTGGAGGCGGCGGCAGCACGTGGACCAGACACGCAGCTACGTCCGGATGTTCTGTGGCTGCCTCGGTGGCTTCGGCCTCCTGATGCTGGCCTGCGTGTCCCCGCTGAGCTGGGTGCGGTTGCTGCTGGTGGAGAATGGCCTCGAGCTCTACGCGGGACTCTGGACCTTATGCAGCCGCGAGCTGTGCTGGGACCACACCCCCAAGCCACCCTGTGAGTGTCACTCAAGTCCAAGCCCCAGGCCCCGCAGCGCAGCTCCCGCCATGACGACCCTGGGTCCTCCTCCCTCCGAGGTCTTTGCCCTCCGCTCCCGAGTGCAGGGTGGACACCAGCTAAGCGGGTACAGCCACCCTTCCCTTCTGCCTCGGCTCACCCTTTCCCCTTCCCACCCTTCCCTTCTGCCTCGGCTCACCCTTTCCCCTTCCCACCCCAGGTTGTTTCCTGTCCCAAATAGTACTGTCATTGTCTCTGCTCTGGAGAGAACGCTGCCGTTTATAAGGTTGCTCTGAAGCACTGTGATTGGTGCTCGCGGGCGGCCTGCAGAAAGGGAAGAGGGGACTGATCACAGCTGGGCAGTCAAGCAGTGTCTTAACCTCCGTCAGGTTCAACTTTCAAGGACGGGAGGCTTTTTGTGCTGTCAGTAGACGAGATCTAAACGTGTATTAGATACGTGCTATAGCAACCGCCGGCTGTGTGGCGGGAAGGCACATCTTAGGCAAATTAAATGCGTCTGAAAATGCAGCACAAACTGTTTCAAAGCCAGGATGTGCAAGATGGTACACGTACGAGTTCTTCGATCTAACACTTACAGGAATAGCCATGCCCATGCCGACAGCTTTCCCACCACCCATCGCTCTCCACTCAGAGCAGCAGGCCTGGTGAAACAGGACGTCTGAGCACACTGTTTATTCTCCTTTTCAGATAAGCAGGGGACCTGATGCTGGGGAGGGGAGCACCCAGGACCAACCCTGAGGTGGGGCATCTCGTTAACCCTGAGCTGGGCACCTGGGGTTAAGTGACAGTACCCTAAAGCAGGATTGTAGGGGAAAAGCAAAACCAGGGCAGGCAGATGACTCAACTCCATCTTTAACTAAAAAGAAAAACTCAAGATGGTATTTGCAACACATATGGAAGATGAAGGTTTATAGTCTTAATATTGAAAAGGACATACAGGCTATTAAGAAAACAAAGGCCCAAATAAATTCTTTTTTAACAGACAGTTTACAAAACAGGAATTACACATGTCTAATAGGAAAAACCTCCATTAATTTTTTTTTGAGAGTTTTTTGCTATAGGGCATGTGCGCTCACCAGAGAGACAGAAGCTGGGTGCGGTTGCTGCTGGTGGAGAATGGCCTCGAGCTCTACGCGGGACTCTGGACCTTATGCAGCCGCGAGCTGTGCTGGGACCACACCCCCAAGCCACCCTGTGAGTGTCACTCAAGTCCAAGCCCCAGGCCCCGCAGCGCAGCTCCCGCCATGACGACCCTGGGTCCTCCTCCCTCCGAGGTCTTTGCCCTCCGCTCCCGAGTGCAGGGTGGACACCAGCTAAGCGGGTACAGCCACCCTTCCCTTCTGCCTCGGCTCACCCTTTCCCCTTCCCACCCTTCCCTTCTGCCTCGGCTCACCCTTTCCCCTTCCCACCCCAGGTTGTTTCCTGTCCCAAATAGTACTGTCATTGTCTCTGCTCTGGAGAGAACGCTGCCGTTTATAAGGTTGCTCTGAAGCACTGTGATTGGTGCTCGCGGGCGGCCTGCAGAAAGGGAAGAGGGGACTGATCACAGCTGGGCAGTCAAGCAGTGTCTTAACCTCCGTCAGGTTCAACTTTCAAGGACGGGAGGCTTTTTGTGCTGTCAGTAGACGAGATCTAAACGTGTATTAGATACGTGCTATAGCAACCGCCGGCTGTGTGGCGGGAAGGCACATCTTAGGCAAATTAAATGCGTCTGAAAATGCAGCACAAACTGTTTCAAAGCCAGGATGTGCAAGATGGTACACGTACGAGTTCTTCGATCTAACACTTACAGGAATAGCCATGCCCATGCCGACAGCTTTCCCACCACCCATCGCTCTCCACTCAGAGCAGCAGGCCTGGTGAAACAGGACGTCTGAGCACACTGTTTATTCTCCTTTTCAGATAAGCAGGGGACCTGATGCTGGGGAGGGGAGCACCCAGGACCAACCCTGAGGTGGGGCATCTCGTTAACCCTGAGCTGGGCACCTGGGGTTAAGTGACAGTACCCTAAAGCAGGATTGTAGGGGAAAAGCAAAACCAGGGCAGGCAGATGACTCAACTCCATCTTTAACTAAAAAGAAAAACTCAAGATGGTATTTGCAACACATATGGAAGATGAAGGTTTATAGTCTTAATATTGAAAAGGACATACAGGCTATTAAGAAAACAAAGGCCCAAATAAATTCTTTTTTAACAGACAGTTTACAAAACAGGAATTACACATGTCTAATAGGAAAAACCTCCATTAATTTTTTTTTGAGAGTTTTTTGCTATAGGGCATGTGCGCTCACCAGAGAGACAGA